CGTAATATTATATTGACATTGAGAAACACCTGAACGGGTGCTGGCTGCCAACTAACTTTTTAAGGCATCGCCGAAATAGACGCATGTGCGCGATCCTTGGACGATCGGGCGCGGGACGATACTGAAGGAACCGAAGCGAGGGCGAAGGCGATTGCGGGAGAACCAGCCAGAACATTCGTATTGTTCGATACGTAACTGATATATTGATACATTATTATATATATATATATATATATATATATATATATATATGGTTATGATCTTTGATAAATACTTATAAGTTGGAAGTTATTACAAATTTTATGTATATTACAGAAATTAAATAAAAATACCAATTTGCACGTATTTGCGGTTCATTATTAGCAACTTGCACGTGTTTTGCATTATTGACAACTCATACGTAACTCTTCTTGATTAGCAACTTTGTATGCATTTGCTTTTATACGTAACTTGAATGCATTTCATTTAATTAGTAACCAGATCAAGGTACATCCGTTTTTGGCATACTTTAGAAAAAATTGATGTGTGTGTATGTATGCATGGATACAACTTTTCGTGTTCTTTTTTTATGAGAGAAGGAGCATCCGATTTGAATGATTTAAAAAACATTCGATAATGATGTGGAGAAGTGGTGATTGATTTTTGGCAAAGACCCTTTCGAAGATGCGGTGCTGAATGTGCATAAAATGGCAGTTTTTGAGGGAACAAAGCATTGGATTTGAATGATTCAGAAAACTTTCTGCTCGTGTTGACAAAACGCTTGTTTTTGGCGTAAAAAAACAATATCGAAAATAAAATAATTCAGATTTTCAAAATTTTAATTCGGTAGACGAAGATCCAGCAATTTGCCTCAAGGCACGATGCCTCGCACGACTAGTTATATATCCAGTTGTCAAAAACAAAATATAACTTAGTTATAAAATATTGTTTTTAACTCTATTCAAAACTTTAATGTAAAATTATTAATATAATAAATATATAATGTTTTTATATTAATTAAAGTTTTTCATTTAAGTATGAAAAGTACATTGTGTAAGAAAACAATGAATAATTAAATAGTAAAAAACTAAATATTTAAAATTCAAATAATTTTTGTTTGTATCTAAAAAATAGGTGAACAAAATCAGTAATTATGGGCATATTTATTCAATTATGTGGCTTTCAAGTCACAGTGACCTATAATATTGGCACTAAGTGTGTGAAAATGATATTTCAGGTTGAAAAGTTAGCAAAGGTAGCAAAGGTCATAAATATTAAAATTATTTGTCTTGAAAATATAACTGAATTCATCACATTTCACGAAAAAAAACATAATTATTTGTTGAAATATCAAAACAAAAAGTCACATAGAGGGTTAATGTCATTATTTGATAATTTCAAATTTAATAGAAGTTGTTCCAATAAATAGTTATTCTGAACACCGTCTAAAATTGTTAATAATTTATTATATTAGGTTGATTAATGAAAAAATAATATTTTCTTACACAAGTTTAGTTAAAAATTTAATTAATGTTATTAATTCAAAGTTACTGATTTGAATGATAAATGATTCGTTTGATTCAAATAGGAATTCACTTTCTTCGGTTTAGTTATTTAGTTACAACTTTGATGATTTATATTAAATTAATTTTTAAAATCTATTTATAATATAAATATAAGAACATACTGCAGATTTAAATTGGTGGTCATATTGATTACAAAAAAATATAAAAAAACTGCTAAAAAAAATTTCATATGCGCATCGTGTTTGGTTAATATATTTTTTAAGAAAATAAATAAATTAAGCGTTATTAATTTTATATGATTAATTCTTTTTTCTCTCTTTTAGGTTCGAAATTTTAATATCTATTAATTATACTTAAGTATTTAATTATTAAATACATAATATATTATTTATGAAGCAGTTTTTATGAAAGTCAGTCATATTTATTATATTTAGTAATAGTTGTTTTTTGATATGGCAAGTTTAAACATTTTATTTAGATTTTAACTAATTCTGCTAATTATTTACTTTACTTTATTTTTATTCTGTACTTGCAAACATACATAAGACATAAAATACAATAATCTTTAATAATTCCTGACATTGGAGAAATATATATTTATGTATTTGCTTCTTCATATATATTTTCTCAATAGATTAGTAAATATATTAACATTTATTATATAACAAAGGTTGATTTATCCATATTTTGTATGGAATGTAATTCTTTACAAATTTATCACAAAAATTGAATTAGAAATCAAACACGTATATTTGTAATTATTTCAATAGAAATTAAAAAAATCTGTACCTTTTATAAATATGAATTAACATCATCATCAATACCAAGTTTCAAAAAACTAATCAGTATTCTGCGACAATATTAGCACGAAATCTTTTTGTTTTCTCGAAGATACGTTTTATATAAATATAGATATGTACTTGAATTTATATTTATCGCCATGAACACACAAAAATATGTATATTTGATAATTTATTTGGTCGCAGAGGAAAGTGAATTGGGTGACCTACACAGTCGAGATTTATTTTGTCCCAGTTACTATTCGCGGACATCGAGCGATGTCGAATATTTTTAGCGCAATTCTCGGAGGTTTTAGCAAAAAATACATTTTAAATAAAAGAATTGCGTATTATTTGTTATCAAAATAACAGGACTTGTATATAATGAAAATAATATAATGCTCATCCATAAAAGTCCTCATACTATAAATAGTTTCCCATTAATAGAAACATCACAGGAATGGATAAGATTTATTTACTATACAAAATTTTAAGTTATTTTTAAAAACAAAGTACATAAAATTTAGTAAGACAATCATATAAAAATACATGAATAAATGTATTTTCTCACTATTTTGTATAGGGAAGAGCAGGTCTTAAAGAGCCGCGGAAAAAAAGGTTCGCCAGCGGTATCTCAATAACAAGTAGAGTTAGGAATTTTTGAATTTTTTCAACAATATTTGAAAGTAACGTGAAAAAGATGTATGATACGGCTCCACCTTGATACTTACGACATTGCTATCAGGAGATTAAAGGCAATGTTTAAAAAATCCATAACAAAAGTATTTTCTTTCGATATTAGTTTTTTTGGTTAAAAACCAACTAAACCTTCACCTTGACAAAGGTGTAAAAAAAAAAAAGTTAAAATAAGCAATAAGAAAAAAATTAAATAAATAGTCATTACAACTCTGCTGATGAATGTTTCTGACAAAATACCAGATCAAGGTTATATACAGGGTTATCTCTCTTAAAAATGCACCCATGAAATTTATATTTTGCATTGGTTGAATAATGTAGCTAATATTTTGTAAAAACCCTTTGAAATTAAAATAAAACATTGAAACTGTTTGGCTTCTGGCTGTCCCAATTTATTTCGTCTGTGGGGTAAAACGGACTAAATTAAAATTTTTTTGAAAAACAGCAAAAAAATAACACGTTTCTAAAATGATGAATTGGCTGTGAGTTTTATTGAACATAGTCAGATAGTTCTTTTTTTTGATATGTATCATTTGTTATGATATAATTGTTCTGGTTTTCACAATGTAATTGCTGTAATTGGTCTTTTGTGCCCCGCCCTACTCTATAGTTCAGTCAAAATTTTCAATATTTATAAATGTCTACAGATTTACTGAATGCCTTAAGGAGACAGTTGTAAATATTATGTTGTAAATAAAATGAATAGTTTTTATAGAAACAATAATTTTGCAAAATATAATATATTACATATGAGTATATAATATTCTCTCGCAAATCATTCTAATTTTACAAAATAAATAATATTAGAAATTGAATTTAGCAAGTCATTAAATATCGTAATATAAATAAATACATAAAGCATAAAAAATAAAACAAATTTAATATGAGTAAAAAATGTTATGTACATATTTCTATTTAATGAAAAGAAAAATGAAATGAATGGATTATGATGGAATTTATACTATGGATATTTAAAGATGCATCATTTTTCTGTTCACCTACAGAATGATGAAATTACAACACAAATCTTGTTCTCAAAACATTTTACAAATAGCGTGATCTTTAACAAATGATATTTAAAAGTTCAGGTTAGTTAAAAGTTGCAAAAGTTTCTGTGTCTGATGAGTAAATTTAATTTCTAAACTTTAGAAAATATATAATAAACTAGAAAATAATATAATTGAAAAAAAAGTTATTTTTTTAAATGTGCAGCTGTAACTCGTGCTCATCCAAATTTATCAGCTTCACTATTTTGATCTAAATATAAGGCAATGTTTACACAATTGTTTTATTGGCATTTACGAAAGTATGAGACGTATTCTCAATTCTATTATAATTCTATATTTAGTTCAAACATGTTGATATCTTGCTCTGCAAATTTATTTTTGATTTATTGGGATAATATTAGTTTAGTTAAAATATCGATTCTTTGCGTTTATTTATTTTAGCATCAGTTTACATAATACTTATATAAAATTTTGGATTTTGTTTATTGGTATAATTTCTACTGCATAAATAAATATAGAGATCCAAAATTTTTTGTGAACCGCGTTGACTAAATAATTTGCACTTAAAAACGGATCGGCCGATCGTCATCCAAAATTATTCATTGTGAGGCCTTATCAAATTAATATTTTAAGAAATCGTCAACCAAAGATCAAATTTTGAATCACATACACAAACACATACATAGACATTCATACACACATACAACACATACTTTTTATGTCAAATGATTCAGAATGACACAAAATGTCGCGGCAATTGAACTGATTGCATTCCCCCCTTCGGAATTAATAACAATATAATCTCTAAGATCGAATTAATTTTCTCTGTACATCTGCAACATATAAACTAAGTAAAGAATACTAACACGTTCAGTACCGACACCCCACTCCAATTCGCACGTAACAATCTATTTGCATCTATTTCTAAAACCTATTATGTTCAGATGCGTTCTCTAAACGAAATCTAAAATTTCCTTTAGTCAAATCAGTACTGATCTCGACACCGTAGTGGTCGCATTAACCGAATTTATTTTTTTATTTCAATCTGTTAGTGAGACACGAGTAAAAGAACTTTATTTATAACGACAAGATAATTTTTAAGTGTTAGGTGACCACTACAGTGTGTATATATATCTAAATATATATATACAAAGTACCAGTAGTTTGTGCAATTTTTTATCTAAGGTATGTTGGATTTATTTATAAAAAAATATTTTTATTTGATGTGATGGATAATTTTCTTAGTGATATGATAATGACGAGTTACAGCATCAACAATAGGCCCTTGAAACTTCAGTAATTAAAATAGAATTTGCTGTCAAATAGAGAAATTTGGAACTTTTATCGTGTTTCTTAAATTGTCATCATAATGCTCCTTGCATTTTATATTATTCATAAAAATCTTTGTTTTATTTTCTCTGCCAAGTGATATCCATCAAGTCATTTATGACAGTCTTTAAATGCATCAAAACATTTTCTTTAAATCATTTTCTTTGAAATAATATACTTTATTAGTGGTTTTCAACATGTGGGCGCGAAATTGTTATAATAAAAGCATACATCTATTTCCAAAACACTATTTTTGAATGTATAATTGGTGTCAAAAACTGAATAAATAAATAATTATTTGTGAGTGTATTTTTGCACAATAATGTCTACTATTTTGTAATACATTAAATAAATAGTTGACTTCTAAAATTAGAATTAGAAAATGAAATAAGCGTTTTGAACATTTATTTGAACGTGGCCGCGAGTACGAATAGGTTGTAAACCACTGTCCAATACTCTTTATTATATTTATTTGGTTATTACCTATATTAATATTTATAATCTACTATTACTATCGGCGTTAAATTAATAAATAAATATTTTATTTTTAACTTTCATTATGACAAATATTCTATGATCTCTGATAGCATATTTAGTTCTTTGTAAATTTATAGAAATAATTAAAAAGACAACAGATATAAATTAATTAACTTTATAATTAATTTAATTCTCAATTCTAATTTATATTAAATGTTAACTTTTTTAATATAAATTTGGAATTGACATAAACATTTGTAATGATGAAAGAAAATTAAGAAATTAATTGAAAAATTAATCATGTATTGCTTGTATTTCTATTGAATACTATACTCTGTCCATTTGAAATATAATTTGGTGAATATTAACTACTGGATTACAAATTTTATAATTGGTTTCAACAAATAGCAGAACAATCCATATTTTTAGTTTCAAAATTGATAAAATATTGTCTATCAAAATTTTCATAGTTTTAAAGAAATTTATAGCTGAATGTCTAATTTTCTGATTATGTAAAAATTAACGTCGTGTATGACAAATATAATGCCTGTTGATTACTTCTATTCTATTTACTTCAATTTCAATATATTTGAAAATGAATACTTTATAAGTATAAATTTAATGAATATCAGATGAATCCCATTAATATTCTCAACATATTATATAGTTTGTAGTTTATAAAGTTCTATTTGTTTATTTATAATTGCTGATATTTTTTTAATTACAATTATAGTTACAACTTACAAAATATTATAAACAAAATTTTGGAAAAAACTTAGTTTGAAAAAAGCATTCGACAGAAACATGAAAGTAAGATATAGGGCTGTATATAAATTAAAGAAATATCAAAAAATATTATTAACAAAAATTTTGAAATAACTTTGTTAAAAAAAAATATTAGGTAGGTGTTTTAACTAATATTTACTCTCTATAGAGCAAAGAAAGAGTACTGAAATATTTAAAACAGAAGAGACAATTTTCAATTTGATTTTTTTTATTTAATATACCCAAAAAAGTATAAAGTTCTAAAAGTTTATCTATCGGTGTTAAGAAGGATATCTATTAAGAAAAAAATCATAAATTATCCTTTTCTTGTTATATTGCTCCATTATGTTACGGTTACAAGTACAAACCGTTAAAATCTCTAGTTCAAAATTTATTTTAACACTGGGCTCTATATTTTCTAGAGTGTCTAATATTTTTCAATACCACCCACATATGAATACACTAATGCTGAATTATTTAGAGCAGTGTTGTAATAACCTAGATTGAAATACTAGCAAAGTATTTGCAAAATTTAGATCTAGGACGAGCGGTTTTGTGTTGGCCAACAACTTTCAGTAATATAGGTCGAAAACTGTTTGACACTATTTGAATAATCTGTTTTTGATTCAATGATTTTTATTTTTGATCTGATATAAATACCCTTGAAAAATTTTGCGAAGGTTGTGCTAATTGAATTAACAATTACCCTTCGCAAATTGTTAGAGTATTTCCTACTATGAAAACAAATGATTACACGCACAGATATATTTTTAAAATTTATATATATTCATAAATAATTCTAATATATAAATGTAATATAATAATATATATATATATATATATATATATATATATATCATATTACAATAAAACTTTCTTCAATATGTAAAAAAACCATCTGTATTAAAAAATATCTACATTACTTTTCCGGTCTTACATATAAATAATATTTCAAATAGTAAAGTCGAAAAGTAAAATTCGTCGAATTGCAAATTTATCGATAATTCTTTGTATTTTCCGAATGACCAAATATAAAATTATATTATTAAGTACTTGTATTTCACATTCCAAACTAAAAAAACAAACATACTATTGGAAATAGAAAAAAAATCGTAATAATACACACAAAATAAAAAATCATTGTAGCAAAATACAGAACAGTGAAATTGATACTATAAAATTAAAACAAACATTAATAAATTTAGAATCTATTATTATCTTTTCCACTTTCGACGTTTTTAGTGACGATTCAATGTATAAAATAACTAGTTCACATGCTGATTATCAAATCTAAAATTGGCAGTAGATGTAGAGGTAAATTATATGTTTTAAGAAGAGCCAAGAGTGAAGTTTTGTGAAAATATTTGTAATTTGTGTGTTATTTTGTAACGTTATTGTGCTCGTGTTAAAAGACCAAGAGTTGTGCCAAATTCTGATATACTAAATTCTGATTTCAGTGTGAAACAGGTTTAAAAATTAACTACTACCATTAATAATTTGAGAAAAAAGACCAGATTTCTTTACTGTGAATAAAGTTAATAAAAGTGATTAAATAATTATTATTATCATCACTAATAATTTTATCATTGATGGTAAATTATGAACTATAAAGGAAATGCAATTACGGTGGAGACGCCTTGTAGATTAGTAAAGTTCTTAAAGAATTTTATAAATTATAAGTGCGTTCAATTAAATGACCAAAAAGAGAATTTATTTACATGTATATATCAGTTTGCATATAAATATATAAAAATTCAAAATAATCTGATATGATAGAAATAAAATTTTCAGTTATATGGCAATTTTTGCCCACAATTTTAGTTTTACTAGCAGAGTTGAAAAGATTATAAATAATTAATGTTTTTTCTAAAATAAATAATGTTTTAATAAATTTATTAATGTTTATTTCTATTTTATAGTATCAATTTTTCTGTTATTTATTTTGCAGATAATATTAAAATGATTTTGTTTTTGGTGTGTATTGTTATTAAGGTATTTTTTTATTTGCAATAGTGTGTTTGTACTTTTTTTCTAGTTTGGTCTCTGATAAAAATATATAAATTAATTTTTATATTTGGTCTTCTGCTGAATATAAACTATTATCAATAATTTTGTTATTCGACAAATTTTGCTTTTCGATTATACTACTTTAAATATTATTTATACGTAGAAACATCTTATAGATTTTTTAATGCATAATATTATATATTCAAAAACAATTTAAACAATGCATGTATATTTATATATAATATATATATATATATATATATAAATATATATATACATATATTTATTTATATCCATGATTGTGAATCATACGACAAGTAAACAATCTCCATTCATAACATTGCTTGTATTAATGACGTAATTTGATTTTAAAATTAAATTACAAGCCCAACGAACGATAGCCAAAAAATCCTATTGATATATGCATGTATATATATATAATTATATATATATATATATATATATATATATATATATATACCCATAACTGCTGTTTAAGTACTACTATATTTATGGTTTTTCATATTTTTATAAAGTTTGCAATATAATTCTTATAAGTCTTGTTTTTATAGCCAACTATATAAATGATAGTGTTCAAACACTTGTAAATAAAATAAGTTGTAAAAAAAACTCCAAGCTTAGTTCATCCCTTTACCTGCTAGTCCAAGAAGCTTGTTAAATAATCATTAAATTTTTATAAACACTTATACTAAAAATGGAAAATCATGCGATTAAATAATATAAATTTGCACCAGCCAAAAATTTATATAATATTTTAAATTACATAAATATTGCAAGATATTTCCGTAAACAGAGCTTTCTTATTACATAGAAAAATGACGTTCTCCGGAATGTGTGTCGGTGAATCTATTCACAAAATCTATTTTCGGGCGCGTCGGTCTAATTTATATAAAAGCACACTAGTTGTTGAGTTGTACACTAAACACACTAAACTCCAGATAAATTATTAGAATAAAAAACTGATCTATACAACAGAAACTTTGTTCTCTAATTATTTGAATCTAATTCTCTAAAATTTCTGTTCAATAGTTATTAAAAGCATGTCTAGATCCAAATAACTTTTTGAAATGAAACTCTAATTTATGAACAGAAACTTTGTTCTATAGTTAATTGAATAATTGTGTATCAAATAAACATAGTTAAACAAATGTGTATTTATATTTAACTTGCCAAAGAGGAAATTTATATTTTCAACAAAAAATTAAAACAGAAAATCATGAGACGATTTTAAAAATTTAAACCATTCAAAAGATACAAGATGGATGTAGTGCCGATTATTTTTCATTAAGATCAGTCAGATCATTTCTTGTTAAAAAGTTAAACTAAAAGGGATTAGTCTTATAAACCATTAGTTAATCTACTTATAAAGGTTTCAAAATTCCATATAAATTTATAAATTTTATCCTCTCTGAGTATCTAAACTCTTGACGTAACAAAAGCAACGTTATTCCCATTTTACATTCATCTCGACTAAAAATACACGATGAGAACATTGTACGTCTGCCAAAATAAACTAATTTTTGGTTATCTCGAAAAGCATTTATACAATTCTCAATATTATATCTCTTCCCATTGGTACAAATTTA